AGTTTCCACCCCAGTTCCGCGGCCGATTATGGGCGTTCCACTTTTTGCCCGCCCGACGAACATGCCGGCACGTTTTTTGTAGGCTTTTTGTAGAGTCTCGTGAACAGCGCACTCAGATATGTTTTGCCCATGCGTTCACCTGCACTAATCCTCAAACTGAAAGCTTATGAATTCACATTCTGGTGAGTTGTCCCAATGCATGGTCCGACTGCGTTGTTTACAGACATCGTGATGTCGCCACAACCAGTAGCTTCCGAAGCTCATGGACGTGCTGACCAAGGTCCATGTCCACTCGCTGCTGGATTCGTACCGTGGATTGACAGAAACGTGCTGCCTTCCGCGGGCCCCACATCTTAGTATCGCCAAAGGAGAATACGCTCAGATTAGATTGACGACCACTTCGAGACCTCTCAATCAAAAGAAAGAAGGTCTTCTTCTCGATTGGGAAGTCTACACTCTCATCTTAGTGTACACGTTCACGGTGAACTGGTGGAATAGTTGGCGACATTCCACGACACGGTTAGCACGTGGACCTTAACATCATGCGATGCGCATACAAAATCATAGCTGATACCTTCTTCTGGTGAGGGCACCAATGTTTAGGTGCCATAGTTCAAAATGATAGACGTCTACCACATCCCAGAACAAGAGTGCTTGAGGGCATCGTACGATCTGGATTTAGAAGAGCCTTGGCTTCTCGGATCCCGAAGTAGAACCTTCGCATTTTTCTACTTGAGGTAAAACCACTGGCTTCTCGGTAGTTGGTTTGGAGCCTTACCTTCTCGGTACTGGAAGAAGCATAGCCTCTATCGCTTAGTCCTCAGATCCTTGCTGGTCTTCAGGTTCTTAGATTTTTGGTCCTCGCTTGGTACTCAGAGCTCTTGGTGTCTGATCCGACGACCGCCATCACTCAGAGAATCGGCGGGATAGGCGGCCATGCGATTTTTAGGCAAGCGTTTATCGGGAAAATAGATCACTAATTTCTTGCGGTCTGCTTGCAGATATTTGGAGAAAATTTGGGCATTTTATGATGAAGCGTGCAAACTATTCATAGATTAGTTGCGGCGCAGTGGCCGCATCTCCATGGACTTTCTGCCAGAAATATAAAATCGTTGAGGCCGCACGGCCCTTTGTGAAGGACCGCACAGCTCTTAAGTATTTTCCGCTGAGAGAAAGTACCTTGAACGTGGGTAATCGAATCGTCAATGGCACCTCTGCCACATAGAGGCTCACGAATTCTCTCGGCGTTCGCCCAAAACTACGTAAAAATGTTCAAGCGCCTGCTAAAAGTTTGGTTAGTTTAGTTTGGTTTTCTAAAAGTTTGCTCGCTAAAAGAAATTATTAGACGAGCGCTGGTAGGAAAACTGTATTGCTGCCCGCTGGTAGAACACGGAAATACCGCTCGCTGAAGGCCTGGCCACGCCCCAAGATGTTGCTGACCTCTTGCAGAAAAGCGCGAGTTTGCGGAACTCCTGCCCCGGATCATCTGATCAGAACACATGGTGTGTCAAGGCTTGAAACACTATGTGTGTTGTTTAAATTGCTATAATTCTGTGTCAAACAAACTTCGGGAGTTTTCCTTGGTGCTCGATCTAGATGCAACCTCTATTGTCTTTGCGAGCATCCGAGCGCTACTGTAGGTGTACTGTAGATGAAACTGTGTGCGATTTTATCTGAAACATGTTGACTGGTCCGTGAAAGGCCTTGATCATCAATGTGTTAAACGACAATGAGGAAGACAATCATCGGTTGTTGAAAATTCTCGGTTATCACCCGACTTAAGTTGAAGCACTCGGTCATCTTACAAGGGAATGGTCACAAATCGAAGTGGTCAATTCAGACAAGTTGCATACCATTAGTCGCAGCATAAAATCCTGATTTCAAAACTGTATTCCTTACCTGCATTTCGCCTTTGTGAGCGAACTTATGAGCCGTTAGAAGTCATTATTTTGCTAAGAAATTGT